CCCCAGCCTCCCACCCCAGCCTCAGTCTCTCATCCTCAAGCCCCCACCTTGGCTTGGTTAAGCCCCCGAGTCTTCCAAGCCTGACTGCCACATGTCTCCTGTGGGGTCTGGAGTCCCAGAGACAAGCCCACGATGGACCAAGGTGTCTGTCCTGCTTGGCTCTTCAGACTTAGGCTTAGAAAGGTTTGGGGAGGGGGGAGGGCTTTGAGAAGCAGCTGAAGGGTATGTGTGGAGTGTAAGAGCCTGCTGGAGACAGGATCAGAAATAGTCCAGAACCTGTGTGGCTCTCCGATCTCTGTGTGTGTCCCTGGGAGAGCAGCAGCGAGAAGACCTGACCAGCAGCTTGGAGGGCACAGGGCAACCACAGGGCGCCACAGTCCCTGTCCCTAGAGGGAGGTCCTGGAGCCGTGGCTGAAGTCTGGGGAACCAGGTGGCTTGACCTGGGGTGGGGCGTCCGCCATGCAGCCTTGAGGTAACGGCTGCGGTGGGCACATGCGTCGGTGTGCACAGCTGTGGCATGCTAGCTCTGCACATCTCGCTGGATGCAGGCCGGGTGGGAATGGCCGCGGCTCCCGTCCCGCTCTGACTGGTCTCTGTCCCCGCAGCGGGCTGGCTGCTCGACCTGCAGCACCTGACTCTGGGAGCGCAGATCGGAGAGGGGGAGTTCGGAGGTGAGGAGGGGGTGCAGAAGGAGCTCCTCCCTCCTGGACAGCGGAGGACGGGAGCGGGGCGTCAGGTGCCCGGTGGCAGCCCACCCCCATCTCCCAGGACCTTCCTAGGTGCTCCACTCAGGACACCTCCCCTGTGTGCCTAGTCCTGAACTTAGAGCAGAGGACAGTGAACCGCACTCACACCAGCGCTGTCCGTCCTGAGCAGCCGGAAACTATGCAAACACGGCCAGGACTGTGGGCTTCTTCATGGAACAGAAATTTGAATTCTGAATAATGAGACAGCCATTGCATTTGCATCAATTGCTTATTCTTTTGGGACCAGGGATGGAACAAGGCCTCCTGAATTTAGAGCCAATACTCTATTCAGGCCACGCCCCTAGTCCCTTATTAAGCTCCACCCTGACCACGCCCCCAGCCCCTCACTGGGGATTCTGGGCGGGGCTCCACCCTGACCACGCCCCCAGCCCCTCACTGGGGGATTCTAGGCGGGGCTCCACCCTGACCACGCCCCCAGCCCCTCACTGGGGGATTCTAGGCGGGGCTCCCCCCTGACCACGCCCCCAGCCCCTCACTGGGGATTCTAGGCGGGGCTCCACCCTGACCACACCCCCAGCCCCTCACTGGGGATTCTAGGCGGGGCTCCACTCTGACCACGCCCCCAGCCCTCACTGGGGATTCTGGGCGGGGCTCCACTCTGACCACGCCCCCAGCCCTCACTGGGGACCCTGGGCGGGGCTCCACCATGACCACGCCCCCAGCCCCTCCCTGGGGAGTGTAGGCGGGGCTCCGCCCTGACCACGCCCCCAGCCCCTCACTGGGGATTCTGGGCGGGGCTGTACCATGACCACGCCCCCAGCCCCTCCCTGGGGAGTCTAGGCGGGGCTCCACCCTGACCACGCCCCCAGCCCCTCCCTGGGGAGTGTAGGCGGGGCTGCCCGCAGGTCGGTCTGTGGGTCTTGGTGGGTCCTGAGCTCTGTCCCCCTCCACAGCCGTCCTGCAGGGTGAGTACCTGGGGCAGAAGGTGGCCGTGAAGAATATCAAGTGTGATGTGACAGCCCAGGCCTTCCTGGATGAGACGGCCGTGATGACGTGAGTGGCCGGGTGGGACCGGGTCCCAGGGCCGGGGTCCCAGGTGTGTCCTCACTTCCCGCCACCCCCGTCTGTCTGCCCCCCCATCCTGCCCTCCCCCACCCCCAGAAAGCTCCAGCACAGAAACCTGGTCCGACTCCTGGGCGTGATCCTGCACCACGGCCTGTACATTGTCATGGAGCACGTGAGCAAGGTGTGCGGGGTGGCGGATGGGTGGGCGGACGGGGGTGGCCCAACAGCCTGGAGACCCCCAGGTCCCTCCCCCCCACAGGGCAACCTGGTGAACTTCCTGCGCACGCGGGGCCGCGCCCTCGTGAGCACATCTCAGCTCCTGCAGTTTTCTCTGTAAGTGACATCGCTTCCGGGCAGGTAGGTCCCAAAGTTGAGGGGAAACTGAGGTCTGACTGCGGGGTGACCGGGCTCGTCTGTCCCTAGGCATGTTGCTGAGGGTATGGAGTACCTAGAGAGCAAGAAGCTGGTACACCGCGACCTGGCTGCTCGCAACATCCTGGTCTCTGAGGACCTGGTGGCCAAGGTCAGTGACTTTGGCCTAGCCAAGGCCGAGCGGAAGGGGCTGGACTCAAGCCGGCTGCCAGTCAAGTGGTCGGCGCCTGAGGCTCTCAAGAATGGGGTGAGCAGCGATCCACCCCTCTCTGGGGTCTTGGGGCCCCTCAGAGGGAGGATGATGTTGTGACTGTGCTGTGTGACCCTACATACATCCCTTGACCTCTCTGAGCTTCAAGGGAAAACGGCTGCCTCTCCGGTGAGCCCAGCACCTGGCACCTTCCTCAGATCTCTAAGGCCGTCATGGGCTTGGGGGGGGGGGGTAGCCTGGGACTGTGTCCAGGGAGGCCACAAGGACCCCGCTCACCCTGACCTCGGCCCCACAGCGGTTTTCCAGCAAATCGGACGTCTGGAGTTTTGGGGTGCTGCTGTGGGAAGTCTTCTCGTACGGAAGAGCTCCGTACCCCAAGATGGTGAGCAGCGCCCTGGGGAGGGGCAGCCTGTGCGTCCTGTGCTGCAGACCCCGCCCCCACGCTGCATGCCCTGTGTCTGCAGTCGCTGAAGGAGGTCTCGGAGGCCGTGGAGAAGGGTTACCGCATGGAGCCCCCCGACGGCTGCCCGGGCCCTGTGCACACCCTCATGGGCAGCTGCTGGGAGGCGGAGCCTGCACGCAGACCGCCCTTCCGCAAAATAGCGGAGAAGCTGGGCCGCGAGCTCCGCAGTGTGGGCGCCGCAGCCCCCCTTGGGGGACAGGAAGCCGAGGGCTCAGCTCTCCCACGGAGCCAGGAACCCTGACCCCTGAAGCACGAGGGCCCAGGTGCGGGGTCACAGGGCCGGGATGGGCCAGCGCACAGACAGGCTCAGCAGCCCCTGGAGTCCCCACACCCAGGGCCCCCCATAAAGAGCGATTGGACGGACTTCGTACATTTGTGTCTCTGTGACATCCACGTGTCCCCCCCACCCCCCCGCCTCTCTGGGCCATCGGAGACTTACGCAGCCAGCTCCCTGCATTCAGCTGTGGCGACCTCGCCCTGCCCCACGGTCCTGAGCCGCGGGATTGTTGATGCCTGTGAGGTTGCCCCAAGTCCTTGCCCCCTCTACCTGCACAGGCCGACCGTCCTTGCCTGCAGCACCTGCCTTACCAGCCCGCGGGACACGAGCCTCTGGGAACAGCCAGGCTGGGGACCCACTAGTCATCAGTCCCCAGGGCCCCGCCTCCTTCTGCTGGGACGGGAGCCTGAGCCACTGTGCTCACTACAGACGTGAGCCTAAGGGGTCACCCACGTGTGTGAGGGGGCGCCAAGCTAGGTGTTCAGATCACATCCCGTCTCGGGGTGTGGGGTGAACGAATGGGACGTCCATGTCACGGAAGGGACAGAGGTGCAGGTGCAGGTCTCAAGAGGCCTGAGAGAAAGTGGCAGGGTGCAGAGGGGACCCAGACTTTCTGGATCCCAGGCCACAGTCGTTTTCTTCCGTGGAGTCCCAGACACCAAGGCAAAGCCAAGCAGGAGTCAGAGGCTATGGCAGCGACATCGAGAGCACACAGGATGCTGTCTACCTTCACATCCACCTCCCACCCGGACCCACTCCTGACACAGCCACCCACTCACCACTCCAGACCACACATCCACCATGCTTGCCTCCATCTCTCCAGCCACCTGTTCTTCTGCTCATCCATCCAACAACACACTGCCACATACCCTGCTACTACTCATCCACTCAACCTGTAGATCGCTCCTCCATTCACAAAGCTACTAACCCACCCACCCACCC